TGGTGCTTAATTCTCTTAGCTCTTGCTTGTCTGTAAAGGTTTTAACTTCTCCATTGAATCTGAATGAGATCCTCACTGGTAGTGTAATCTAGGTTGTAGATTTTTCCCTTTCATCACTTTAAATATGTCCTGCGACTCCCTTCTGGCTTGCAGTTTCAACTGAAAGATCAGCTGTTAACCTTATGTGGATTCCCTTGTATATTATTTGTTGTTTTTCCCTTGCTCCTTTTAATATTTTTTCTTTGATTTGATTTTTGATAGTTTGATTAATATGTGTCTTGGTGTGTTTCTCTTTGGATTTATCCTGTATGGGACTCTCTGTGCTTCCTGGAGTTGATTGACTATTTCCTTTCCCATATTAGGGAAGTTTTCAACTATAATCTCTTCAAATATTTTCTCAGTTCCTTTCTTTTTCTCTTCTTCCTCTGGAACCTGTATAATTTGAATGTTGGTGATTTTAATGTTGTCCCAGATGTCTCTGAGACATTTTGTCTTTCAGGTCACTTATCCATTCTTCTGCTTCAGTTATTCTGCTATTGATTCCTTGTAGAGAATGTTTAATATCATTTATTATGTTGTTCATCATTGTTTGTTTGCTCTTTAGTTCTTCCAGGTCCTTGTTAAATGTTTCTTGTATTTTCTCCATTCTATTTCCAAGATTTTGGATCATCTTTACTGTCATTACTCTGAATTCTTTTTCAGGTAGACTGCCTATTTCCTCTTCATTTGTTAGGTTTGCTGGGTTTTTACCTTGCTCCTCCATCCGCTGTGTATTTCTCTTTCCTCTCATTTTGCTAACTTACTGTGTTTGGGGTCTCCTTTTCGCAGGCTGCAGGTTCATAGTTCCCATTGTTTTTTGATGTCTGTCCCCAGTGGCTAAGGTTAGTTCAGTGGGTTGGGCAGGCTTCCTGGTGGAGGGGACTGGTGCCTGTTTTCTGTTGAATGACACTGGATCTTGTCTTTCTGGTGGTAGGACCATATCCAGTGGTGTGTTTTGGGGTGTCTGTGACCTTATTATGATTTTAGGCAGCCTCTCTGCTAATGGGTGGGGTTGTGTTCCTGTCTTGCTAGTTGTTTGGCATAGGGTGTCCAGCACTGTAGGTTGCTGGTCATTGGGTGGAGCTGGGTTTTAGCATTGAGATGGAGATCTCTGGGGGAGCTTTTGCCGTCTGATATTACGTGTAGCCAGGAGGTCTCTGGTGGACCAGTGTCCTGAACTTGGCTCTCCTACTCAGAGGCACAGGCCTGACACCTGTCCAGAGCACCAAGACCCTGTCAGCCACACAGCTGAGAAAAAAAGTGATTTAAAAAAAGAAGGGAAGAAAGAAAAAAATAAGCTATAATAAAATAAAGTTATTGAAATTAAAAATTATTAAAAATTAAAAACTTAAAAATTAATGAAAAAGTAAAGAAAGAAAAGAGCAACCGAAGCAAAAAACAAATCCACCAATGATAATAAGTGCCAAAAACTGTACTAAAAAAAAAAATGGACAGACAAAACCCTAGGACAAATGGTAAAAGCAAAGCTATACAGGCAAAATCACAGAAAGAAGGATACACATACACACTCACAAAAATAGAAAAAGGAAAAACCAATATATATCTATATAAAAAAATAAGAGAGCAAAGAAATCAATAAACAAATCTACCAATGATAATAAACTCTAAATACTAAACTAAGATAAACATAAAACCAAAATCAAATTAGATGCAGAAAGCAAACCCCAAGTCTACAGTTGCTCCCAAAGTCCACCACCTCAATTTTGGGATGATACATTGTCTCTTCAGGTATTCTAGAGATGAAGGGTACATCAAGTTGATTGTGGGGATTTAACCCTCGGCTCCTAAGGCTGCTGGGAGAGATTTCCCTTTCTCTTTGTTCGCACAGCTCCTGGGGTTCAGCTTTGGATTTGGCCTGGCCCCTACTTGTAGGTCGCGTGACGGCATCTATTCTTCACTCAGACAGGATGGGGTTAAAGTAGCAGCCAATTAGGGGGTTCTGGCTCACTCAGGCCGGGGGGAGGAAGGGGTACGAATGTGGGGTGAGCCTGTGATGGCAGAGGCCGGCATAACATTGCAATAGCCTGAGGCGCGCTGTGTATTCTCCCGGGGAAGTTGTCCCTGGATTACGGGACCCTGGCAGTGGTGGGCTGCACAGGCTCCCGGGTGGAGAGGTGTGGATAGTGACCTGTGCTCACACACAGGCTTCTTGGTGGCTGCAGTAGCAGCCTTAGCATTTCATGCCCGTCTCTGGGGTCCGTGCTGAAAGCCTCAGCTCACGTCCATCTCTGGAGTTTGTTTAGGCAGTGCTCTGAATCCCCTCTCCTTTCACACCATGAAACAATGGTCTCTTGCCTCTTAGGCAGTTCCAGACTTTTTCCCGGACTCCCTCCCAGTTTTCTGTGGTGCACTAGCCCCCTTCAGGCTGTGTTCACGCAGCCAACCCCAGTCCTCTTCTTGGGGTCTGACCTCCGAAGCCCGAGCCTCAGCTCCCAGCCCCCGTCCGCCCCGGCAGGTGAGCAGACAAGCCTCTCGGGCTGGTGAGTGACGGCTGGCCCTGATCCTCTGTGCGGGAATCTCTTCGCTTTGCCCTCTGCGCCCCTATTGCTGCGCTCTCCTCCGCGGCTCCGAAGCTTCCCCTTCCGCCACCCACAGTCTCCACCCGCGAAGGGGCTTCCTAGTGTGTGGAAACCTTTCCTCCTTCACAGCTCCCTCCCACTGGTGCAGGTCCCGTCCCTATCCTTTTGTCTCTGTTTATTCTTTTTTCTTTTTCCCTACCCAGGTACCTGGGGAGTCTCTTGCCTTTTGTGAAGTAAGGTCTTCTGCCAGCGTTCAGTAGGTGTTCTGTAGGAGTTGTTCCACATGTAGACGTATTTCTGATGTATTTGTGGGGAGGAAGGTGATCTCCACATCTTACTTCTCCACCATCTTGAAGGTCTCCTCCCTTCTAGGAGTTTTATGGTTTCAAGTCTTAGATTTAAATCTTTGATCTGGGACTTCCCTTGAGGTCCAGTGGTTAAGATTTTACACTTCCAATGCAGGGGCTGTGGGTTCGATCCCTGGTTGGGGAACTAGGATCCCACATGCAGTGGGACCCAAAACTAAAAAAAAAAAAAAAAAAAAATCCTTTGATCTATTTCAAGTTAATTTTTGTGAGTGGTGTAAGGTAGGACTCCTGGCTATATATACAAAGGAATTGAAAGCAGTGTCTGGAAGAGAATTCTGCACACCCATGTTCACCACAGCATTTTTCATAATAGCCAAGATATGGAAGCAACCTAAGTGCACTCAACAGATGAAGGGGTAAAGAAGATGCATATACATACAATGGAATATTATCCAGCCATGATAAAAAGCATATCCTGCCATTTGCAACAACACCGATGGATCCTGAAGGCATTAGGTGCAGTGAGATAAGTCAGATAAAGATGAATACTATATGATATTACTGATACATGAAATCTAAAAAAGCTGAACTTGCAAAAACAGAGAGTAGAATGATGGTTACCAGGGGCTGGAGTAGGGGATTTGGAGAGGTGTTATTTATGGGTACAAACTTGCAACTAGTAGATAAATAAGTTCTTGTGATCTAGAAAATTAGCATATTACAGCACAACAAACACTGGCCTGATTTTTTGGGAACCTGGGCTGTAACTTTGGGGTTTTCTCTGTGGGTCACCACAGAAGATTTGAATAATCCTCCCTCCCTCTGAATCTCAGCGTCCTCTTGTGTATAACAAAGGGTAGAGAGTATCAAGCGTTGCAAGCATCCCATAGAGCATCTATATCATGTGATTTGGTGCTACCCTAGGTGTCTCTTGAGAAAATAAAAATTCATCCTTGTCAGTCAGGGAATTCTTTCCATCGGAACATTTTAGTGGGTTTTGGTTTCTGCTGTTTGCCCTGCATCTAATAGTCCAAGCCTCCTGAAATAAGTGAGAACTATGCTAACTTGGCCCACAAAGCCCCTTTCATTTGCTGTTTCTGCATAAATTATCAATGTTTGTTCTCTTGCCCATCTTGCTGATGTTACTAAAAAAATGGGTCCCCAAAGAAGGATCCTGAAGTCTAAATATGGTGGCAGAACCCCTGAGACCTTAACTCAGTGAGTCCCCTCATAGTCATTATTTAAGGAACAACCCTTCAACCATCTCCTATGGCAGGAAGTCTTTATCAGTAAAAGGAAACACAGCCCTGCCATTCCCATGTGTACCCTGACCATGCCACCTCCTTTCTTTTGCCTTCCTTCTTTTTTTTAATTTTTATTTTATATTGGAGTACAGTTGATTTACAATGTTGTGTTAGTTGCAGGTGTACAGCAAAGTGATTCAGTTATACATATACATGTATCTATTCTTTTTCAAATTCTTTTCCCATTTAGGTTATTACAGAATATTAAGTACAGTTCCCTGTTATACAGTTGGTCCTTGTTGATTACCTATTTTATATATAGTAGTGTGTACATGTCAATCCCAAACTCCCAATTTATCTTTCCCCCCCACCTTTCCCCTTTGGTAACCATAAGTTTGTTTTCTATGTCTGCGAGTCTATTTCTGTTTTGTAAATAAGTTCACTTGAATAATTTTTTTTAGATTTTATGATATAGCTTCGATATAAGTTATATCATATGATATATTTCTTTCTCTGTCAGACTTACTTCACTTAGCATGATAATCTCTAGGCCCATCCATGTTGCTGCAAATGGCATTATTTCCTTCTTTTTTATGGCTGAGTAATATTCCATTGTATATATGTACCACATCTTCCTTATCCATTCATCTGGACATTTAGGTTGCTTCCATGTCCTGGCTATTGTAAATAGTGCTGTAATGAACATTCAGGTGCATGTATCTTTTCAAATTAGAGTTTTCATCTTTTCTGGATATATGCCCAGGAGTGGGATCGCTGGATCATATGGTAACCTTAAGGAACCTCCATACTGTTCTCCATAGTGGCTGCACCCTCACCTTCCTTCTTAAAAATGGCTGCCTGTGCTTTCATTGCAGAGCTCCTCTGACAGGGAGTCCACCCTGACCATCCTCCAGGTCCTCGGAGATCTGCTTTCCGTTGGTGAGTAAGCCATGCCCTCATCCCTTGTATGGTGGACATGGAGGCATGCAGCTGTGGTGTCTCCCAGGGACCTGTGTAGCCTGGGGGTTTGCTCCAGCTCAAGTTTTCTGTGAGAGACAGAATCACCATGGGATGGTTGTACTTTGGGCTCTTCAGTCTTGTCACTCACCCTATGGTGATCCAAACTTAGGAGGGAATTAGACTCTTGGTGGTGATTCTATGATACTTCATTTCTGGGGACAAGGACCTCCAGCCCTCAGCAATTCGACCTGTTGCCTCCCCTGCTTTCCTCATCGTGGTCCATTTAGAGAGCCAGGTATTGGCAGCTCCCTTCATATGTCCAGTGGAGACAGGAAGATGAGGCAGGAGCTGGACTTAGCAGAGTGGTCAGCCACTACATTTTCAGAGATAAGATGACAGAGGTGACTATATTGGCATCAACTGAGTTAACTGGGGCACGCCTCTATTAGCTCATTTCCATGTGAGGGTCTTGGAAAACACAGCTTCTTGGACATTCCAACATTTACTCAGTTTTCACTTCTATGTAGCCAGTCACATTGCATTAGAAAGACGTATTATCACCAAACAGACAATACCGAAGTGAATGTCGCTCCAAAGCCACAAACCCTCAGATTACAGATTCAGGAGGAAGGGTCCACTCATACTGAGGTTTTTCTATAGGCTGTGCTGCCCTCCAATGGCAGGGTGGCTTCCCTTCTTCTGCGCGAGGTACCCTCTGTAGGTGAAGACCACTTGTCCTCTGTGGTAGTTCTGCCTTCAATTTGTCCAGTGGTGTCTGGAACTCTTAGAATGAAACCTTGGAGTTCTCCTTCTGAAATAGGTACTGATTATTGCCCCTGTAGTAGAGGATGAAAAATCAGAGGATCTTCTTTGCTAATAATCTCCCACCCTGTTGGCCACCTTTGTCCAAGTGCATAGAGAGTCACGTGGGTCCCCTTCCAAGTTGAAATGTAATCACTGCTTTTGAGCTTGTCCTGGGGCAAGATGTTTAAAACTATTCTTAGGTAGAAAGACCAATATACCTTACCCTAGCCCCAGACACTCTTCAAACTCCCTAGACGTATGATTAGATGTTTGTTTCTCAAGGGATTATTCTGGTTGTTTCCATATTTACCGCACATCTGTTACTGAAGGTCAGCACCAAATAATCATTAACACCATCCATGAAATTATTCCAGGTAAGCTATCAAACCAAACCCTCTTGTAGATGATTGAAACGTATAGCTGAGGGGATACTGATCCCTCTTTAATTAAGTATATGATTATACATAAGCCTAATATGCGTATTTCTATACATGCAACACAAGTGCACAGATACACTGAGACTTAATAGATTCTCAGGAAAGTAGATTTTAGGCTCCGCTTATTACAGCTGCTGCAAGTTCTGAAATATTCCATTATTTCTCCATTTCACACCCCACCCCCACCCCACAACCCTGGCCCCTTACCTAATAGCACAACTTTACACAAGTTGCTTCAAGAACTCCACAGTTTTCGTTTCTGGGGTGAAATGAACCAATCCTTGTTCTGTCTCTAGCTGTGGGGTCTGCTTTCTGTTCCAAGGAAATGAGGGTAGTTATTTGAGGCTCAGTGCTCCTCTGCTTTCCCTCTCAGGCACAGACCGGAGGATTTGCTACGTGATCAGCAAGGGTGGTAGTGAAGCCCTTCTGCAGACCCTGGTGGACACAGCCAGGACAGCTTCTCCAGACTATGATATCCTCTTGCCCCTCTTCCGGCTGCTGGCCAAAGTTGGCCTACGAGGTACCCATACCCCTGGGACCCAAAGATGACTGAAAGGGCATCTGGGGATGTTATCATGAGAGCAATTTGGGAAGCTTTTGTGGGGGAGTACAGGGAGGAGCAACAGGGAGGTATAGACACCTTGGTGGTGATGGCAGGACCAGCCCCAGCCTCACCTGGAAGGTGAGGGTCCAGGAGAGGTTCGTAGATGTCAGCAAATCCAAGGTACTTAGGTGCTTAGGACAGGACCCAGAGCAGGCATGGACTACATGGGGCATGAGGCATATGGGGGACAGAGAGGAGATACTCCAAGGAGGTTTTCAATCACTTTAAAAATAAATGGGACATTTCTTCAAAAAACATCTTATATGGAGGTTCGTTATGTAAATGCATTAATTTCCTAGGGCTGCCGTAACGAATTACCACAAACTGGGTGGCTTAAAACAACAGAAATTTATTTTCTCACAGTTCTGGAGGCCAAAAGTCTGAAATTAAGAGGTTAGCAAGATTGGTTCCTTCTGGAGGCTCTGAGGGAGAATCTCTTACATGCCTCTCTCCTAGATTCTGGTAATTTCCAGCAATCCTTGGTGTTTCTTGGCTTACAGACACATCACTCCAATTTCTGCATCCATCTTCACATGGCCTTCTACTCTTGTGTCTTTCTTTGTGTCCTCTCCTCTTATAAGGATATTGGCCATTGGATTGAGGGCCCATCCAAATCTGTATGATCTTAAGTAATTAAGTCTGCAAAGACTGTATTTCCAAATATGATAACATTCTGAGGTTCCAGGCAGACATGAATTTTGGGGCACGGTTTTCAACTCACTACAATATGTCACATAGAAGTGGAGCTTCCTTGGTTGAAGAGAAGATGGGGGTCTAGAATTCTTTCCACTTATGCTGCACATCCATTTCTCTTTCCTCGTAGAAGACTGAAACACCTCCCTACAACCCTAGAAATTTTGGGAGCACATTTGAAAAAGCCTGGGCACTCAGGATGCATGTAAACGTTGCAAATTAGTCCTAACAGTTAAGCTCCGATTGTGTGCAGTCTTACATAAATCACAGTCGAGAAGCTCAGGTCCTCCAAAAGTTGGATCTTTGATGCTCAGTGCAGGCAGCAGCAGTTGAGGGCACAGGGCTCTGGGATACTCTTTCCTTTCAATGTTTGGAGCTGTGATTTGAGTCCATTCTACATTTCACAGATAATGATTGAGACCCAGGCATCAGCCAGCACCTGCATGAGCATGTTCCAGACAAAACCAATAGAACCAATATTCATTGAATATCTGTTGAATATTCAACAGATTTTTACTCCATGTCTCCCAGGGCTGCGCACTGTTCTAGACACTGGGAACATCACTGTCACAAAGACAGATAAGGGGCCTTTTCGCATGGGACTTACATTCAAGTGGGGAAGGGCAGAATAATTAACTAGATGAACTAGATAATAGCAGACAATGATAATTAACTAGATAATAACTGGAAGGAAAAGAAAAGGTGATGTTCCTCTAAGATGATGTAGACAGAGAGAGGTGACATTGGAGCCCAAACTTGAAAGATAAGAAGAAGTCAGCAAAACAAAGAGTGGGCCAAGTGAACTCCAAAAACAGACAGAAAAGACATGCTTTACACCCTGGTAGTAAATGGCAGAGGCTGGGAAGTCAGATCTGGGTTTTAGGCCTGGCTTTGACATTTATTAGCAGTGTGACCTTGGGCAAGTTACCATTGGGCTCTCATCTACAAAATGGGTCTCAGTACATAATTCTTGGGTTGCTGTAAGGATTAAGCAAGGTTGTATGTTACCTGCTTAGCATGTGGCGCCAGAAGCTTGATGGACAAGAGTCATGTAGGTTTCATAGGAGAAAGAGAGATGAGTGATGCACCGGGGCAGTGATTTTCAAGTTATGGACCTTGATATTATTATTGTCATAATTACACCTTCTGCCATTAAAGATGGTAGTCCTTGATATTGACATTCAAGCTGTCAGGGGCTGACCTGAACAGAACAGAAACGAGATTGGCTGCTCATGAATGGAGCCAGATAGGTATCTTTCTTTTCTGATAAAGGAAACGGGTCATATGAGTTCAGTCACAATCTCTTTGCCTTTTGGTGTCTTTTGGTCCAGAGATAAATATTGGTAAACGAGGTTTAGGATGTTGTCTCTGTTTTGCTTATTTCCACCTGCTATGAATCTGGTAGGGACTGTATTCTTGCAAAAACAAACATGGTGATTTGGGCATTGCACTTTGGAAAGGACACAAACAAATGTGACAGGTGGCACAGTCACATATTATCCCTAGTGGGAGCCAGGAGCATAGAATTAAAAAATATTTTTCCCTTTATTTTTTATGCTTATTACTAATTATTAAATAATATTAATAATTAATGATTATTAATAATTATTAAAATAATAATGACTAACCCACAACACTGAATATCAGGTTATTTGGATCAATAATTTAGAGAAATTTGGGGAGAAAATTTTATTTTCTGAAATTATGTTTTCATGTTTTATTATAAAGTTCTCTACCATATAGAAAGATGACCTCTTCTATACCTATCACTTAGCTCTAACCATTGTTAACATTTTGCCATATTTCCTTAACCTATTTATTTTTATTTGAAATATTCTAAGGAAAATTAGAGATAACATTACTCCTAAATACTTTTGTGTGCGTTTCTTTGAAAAGAGACGTTTTCCTATATAATCATAATACCATGGTCATAAATCTAACAAAATTAACAATGCATACATATTTATATTCATTCCAGTTTCTTCAAATGTTCCCAGCATGCCTTTTACAGACATGTTCAGAGAAGGATCCAATCAAGGTTCACACAATGCATTTGAATGTTATGTAACTTAAGTATCCTTACTTCTGGAACTGTCTTAAAGGAAGAAATTTATACCCAGCTAAACTGTAGCTTATGTTTGAGGACAACCAGAAACATTTTTACATATAGGGGGTGCAAGTCATACAACCCACAAGACTTCATGTAAATATTACTTGAAGAATAATGGACCATATGTATACCCTCCATTAGCTCTTTTGAGTCATCTGGCTCCAATGGGGACATACTTAGTAGCATTTTCTACTAGACCCGAAAAGTCTCATTGGCCATGATAATCTTCTTCACTCCACCATCTTTGCCTTCCTCTCCCCCACACATTATACAACCTTCAGAATTAATGTGAAACACAACTAAGATGGATTGATCTGTGTTCATAGATAAAAAGTTTGGACAGAAGGCACTGGAATTTGAAGCACTTGATGTGACATTGATTCTGGCGAGGAAAAACCTGTCTCACAGCCAGAACCTTCTCCACTGTCTCTGGGCTCTGCGTGTCTTTGCCTTTAGTGGTAAGCAACTCAATTGTGGCTCTCTGGGGGTGGCTTCCAGATCTGGGCTGGGACACCTGGAAACCATTTGGGGGTGTGGTTGGAAGGAGGGCATGGGTGGAGGACAAATGTAGTCCCAACAAGATAAATAAACCAGGAGGAGCCTCATGTTCTAGAGACCGTAGAGGTGAGAAGTTATTTCTTCATCTCCTTCTCAGCCTTGGAGAACTCTTGAGCCGGTGCTTGAAGTGAGAGATCCATATTGTTTTCCCTTGGGAGCTAAAACATTTTAGCACTCTACGTCTCTCTGTCAGTACTACAAGGTGAAAAAGACCTGTGGCAGGGGAAGGCAGACTTTATTCAGTCCATATATCCAAGGCACAGAGCAATGTGTTACAGCTGTCAAGAGCGACCCTCACAAGTCTCTCCACTATGTACCTGAAGTCACTCATTGCTCATGACATCCTTTACCAAAGTTTATGTCCCAATGCTTCTCAACATAGTGTTTCAGGTAACTTGATATATCATGGCACATGGGTTGATGTTATTTGCCATCTCCTGATTTGAATTATTTCCGATAATCATAACCATCCTGTATGTAGTCTCAGCATTTCATAGCTAAGAAAAAAGAAAATGAAGCTTAGAAGAATGAAGAAATTGCTTGAGTTCATACAGATAAGTCATGAGGGCTAAGTTTCTAACTGCAAAATTCATGTTTATTCTACTCTTCATACAGATAGTTATTAATAGATGATATTCTGTACCACCTATTTCAGTGTAAAGAACACGGACTTTTATTTCTCCTTTCGAAGCCCCTTTCCTGCAGAACAAAAGTGACAACAATTTAGCTGTAGTACTCTCTAGAGGAAAGAACATGAGCTTAGAGCCAAGAAGACCTGGGCTTGACTCTGACTTCATTTCTTAAGAGTCATATGATGTGTGCACTTAACCTGTTTAACCTCAGCTTCTTCCTTTGTAAAATTACAGTTGTAATAAGAGCTCATAGACTTAGTGGTTAGGATAAGTAAGATCATGTTCATGGGTAAGTTCGTCACATAATAGTTGCTAAGTAAGTGTTAGTTTTTCTTCTCTGCTCTAATCTTTTCCCTCAGTCCTTTGAAATAATAGGAATCACACACATAAGGGGAGTAAACAGGTGGTGACCTTTTTCTGTAACTGTCCTCAGAACTAACAAAATATTAGGGACATATTTCATTGGTTAACTCCATGAGTAAGCATGGAAGACCCATCAAAAGAAAGTATTTCTAGGGAATAACGAGACAGATGCTTGACTCCGTGTTCACAGACAGAATCTCCACTCACACTCATGTATGTTGAGCAGAAAATCAGAGAATATTTGAGAGAGGCTGAAAGAATCTGTCCAAACCCATCTCTAATAAAGGAAAATCTAAGTGAGAAGTTGTGGCTTTGTATAAAGGACAACTCTTATTAATGAGGAGGCAGAAGGTGTGTCACCCCCATTTGGAACTCGCCAGCAGCACGAGATTTGAAGTATCTTATTTTGGTTTCGTAAAGAATAGTTAAGATGAATAACTTACTCTCATTATATATATTGATTATAGAGATCTTGAAGAATTCCTTCAGCAGGGAGCTGTGAAAAATGCTGAGATTTGCCTGTGGGTATGAGGAGGTGGCCATGTGTCTCCTATTCTAAGACAACATTTATTGTATGAACTGTTTCATAAAATATTTTAAAAAAATACGATCACTCTCTACACATTGACTTTACTGATGAGAGGCAAGAGGAGTTCATGAAGCCCATGGGTTGCTGTCGCTTTGGTGAATTGTTAGCCACTGTTGAATGTTCCAGAAAGTTTTCTAAACAGCTCCTATCTGCAGAAGGAATTGGCTGGAACCATAATGGGTCTATGACAGCCAGCGAACCATTCGGCAGCTCTCAGATGGCGGGTGAGGTTGCTTATAGAGCTGCCAGAGGTCTAACCTTGGGCAGGCATCCAGCATGGAAGAACTTAGTGAGGACTTTTTATTGTTATCCTCTTTCAGTTCCAAGTCTAAAGTCTCCCATGCTAGAATTCATGCTCTTAAAACTATTTCCTCTCTAACTCTACTTAATACTAGAATTTTGCTGAATTATTTGCCAGGAGTTTACTCCAGCATGTTTTGCCAATTTAGAAGTAAGGACTGAATTAGTAGCCATGGGAAGGGAAGATTGATGGGCAGAACTAGGATGCCAAATTCTTGAATTTTGATCCATTCAATGACTGCCTGTACTAGCCTCAGGAGGGACGAACGCATAGAGGATATTCCAGGAACACGCACTCCTGGTGATAACTAAGACATCAGCCTCAGTCTCTCTCTGGTGGACTTTACTGAGCTGAACTATATTAGAGACTCCAGTTTTCCATTTTTCCTCCTTTCCTGAGGCTTGGAGCAAGCCAGTATGAGCCTCCCTTGTTTTTATCTCTTTGCTTCTCCCTGACCCCCTTGTTTCCACTCATATTTCCTGGAACAAAGCTGGCCCAAAGCACAAGGCGTTCATAGGTCTCTGTTTTACTACAACAGTACAGTGAAGGAAAGGAAAAAGAGTCACACCTTGGAAGATAAACTTCTTTCCTTCTCCCACTGAAAGTTTTGCCTCGGGCCAAGATTCTATTTTGTATCCTGTGGGTTCCTCTTATTTTTGACGTGATCAGAGCTCTTCCTGAAGTGAGCTGAGTGGAGTGAGGTGCTGGGAATATTGTAGAGTGGCTGGGGCATCATCAGAGATGAGAGGTTTTGTATCCAAAGTACTTATCTGAAGCCACCAGGATGACCAGCTACCCCTTTTGGTCTCTTTCTATTATTCAGATCTATCACTCTGTTTTTATAGCCATCCAATTGGGCAAAAAGGCAAAAATTTCTGGTAGTTACCTCTGAGCAGGACCAACTGATTCTTCCTTTGCCATTCTAATGGATAGAGGTATAGTCAAGCCTTAGCCTTTTAGTGATGGGCGATCCGAGTGCAAAAGTTGTAGGGGAACTTGGAACCGGGGTGGAACAAAAAGGGCACTATCTTCTTTATTAGGTTGCTTCTTGAAGTTTTAAAGAAGTCAATCCAAGTTGGATTGAAACTTATCCCATCCACTTACGACTTTTCTTCATTGTGAAGTCTCCAAACAGCAAAATACGTCTAAGAAAGTGTTTTTTAAGATACTGGCTGTGTGTGTGTGTGTGTGCGCGTGCACGCGTGCACGTATGTATCATATAGGAAGTCGGTGGTGGGTGAAACAGCTTGAACTTAAGTAGTTGCCAGAAACCCAAAGATCTGCTTACAGAAAAAATCTGCTCGGCAATTGCCTTAGCTATTCTGATTGACTATACAAAGGAGTAGGGCAATGGGCCACCAGAAAATGAAAAACATAATTTCATGGCTTGGGACCCTTTTGAGAAAGAGATAGTGTGGGAAGATAATGTGTGCTTTTCAGATAATCTTTAACTTCCAAGCCAGGGATAAAAGACCATAGAGTTTCTCTGCTTTTAAGTTGCCTTTGGTAAGAAAGGTGATGGACCTCCCCTATCTTTTAGGCTCATTCTGTAATGCTGAAAATAATGCTTGGTTCAGATGGGTCAATAACTAGTGTGCTTTTGTCTTTCTCAGTCACCACAGGAGCCATGCTGGGAATTAATGGAGCGATGGAACTGCTTCTCAAGATCATCACCCCTTATACCCAGAAGCGCACCCGAGTAATCAGGTACAGAGCAATTTTTAGTACTTTTGTCTTCTTTGTAGTAGATAGAGATATGGGAAGGGTCTCATAGATATTCTCTTGGTGCTTCCAGTTCACTGAGCGATGACTTCCCCCTTGTAGATATGGTACTATGATTTTATCCTGTCTCAACTCACATCCCTCCCGACCCATGCATCATTTCCTCGGATTGTCACAACAACCTGAATGGATATAATATCATCTTCATTTTCAGATGAGGGAACTCAGATGTGGAGAGAGTCTTATCCAAGGTCACAATGCTAGAAAAAGGCAGAGTTGGGATTTGAATCCAGCCAGATCTGTCTGACTCAAAAGCCCTTGTTTTTTGCCTGAAGCCTTCAGGTATCTCTTTTAATCTCAGACTCTACCATAGTGAGTACAGCCCTTAAAAGACAGTCCAGACATGATAGGGAAAGGTGATGCTCTCAGGGTTCCTAAATTTCTGATATGAAATTCTGATTGTGTGCTAGTTTTGAGATGTGTTTTTATGATTGGAAAGTGAAACTCAGCTATTCTCCCTGGCCCTGCCTCCTGGAGTGGAGAGAATTGAATCACAAACTTAAAAAAAGGGAGATGGTCAGAGACGCAGGCTTTAGAGATATTTGGAACCAATAAGATCCATCATTTATGGGAGTGACTCAGTGAGGACCTTGAAAGAATATTAGAAAAAATTCAGCCAATTTCCAAGATATATGGGGTCATTTGGCAAAGTAGCATTTCCATGACCAGCCATGAGATTTTCTGCATCCCAGCATCAATCGTCAGCTCATCTTCCACCTGATTATTTTTCTCTTGGGTCACCACAATAATGCCATTATCATCCATTCTCACCTGCAGCTCTCTACACCAGCATTTCCTAGAGTGAAAAACATTATATCTTGGTAAAAAAAAAAAAAAATTTCTCATCAAATATATTGAGAAGTACTGGGTTAAACAAAGTTAGGTATATTTCTTTACTGTAAGACTTCTCAAAGCCTTCATAAAGCCAACACACATTCAGAATATTCAAGATGGGTATGTAGTATATACCCTTTCCCAAAACTAATTTGGTTAGGGAACTATTTTTGTTTGCAGACCACCTTTTTTTTGGGGAGTCGGTGTTGCATGTGCCTCATTTGAGAAATCTCTTCTCTGAAGTGCAAATGTATTGCAAAATGGGATTCAGCTACATTCTGTCAAGGGATCCTCATTTAGTTAAGTATAAAACTTCAGAGTCACAAGCTCAGTGACCAAAGAAATGAACTTTCTTGGTTTTTCTGAAATTATATTTTATTTCCCTCTTAAACTTCCATTATTCATTTTGAATATGTTTGATTTGGATATTTCGGTTTTGATCGTGGTGTGTAGGCCTTTGCTGCTGACATATGCAGTCTTAACGTGTCCTTTGGTCAGCAATCCATGAGCCATATCTTTTTGCCTTACTCACCAGGACTCTTCTAATCTGCTGTTGTCTCCATGTGTCTCTTTGGCAGCTCAGGAATGTTTGGTTGCCTACCCTACATCATGTGAAAATCCAGTGATGTCTCCTGGGCCCATCCACATACCAGTATCACACAGTACTCACGCGGGTACCATGTTGTTTGGAGAGCTCCTCTAGGCAAGCCCTTCCCAGCTTACCTTGGCACTAGGCCCTTCCCTTCTGGGATCCTGATAGCTTTTATTGTCTTCCCTATTCAGATTGAGCTAGGGGGAGTAAGCAACAAAGCACAGAAGCCCCCTTCTCAGAGACTCTTGCTAGTTGCCATCTCTATTGCTTTTTTTCTCCTGGAAAGTAACCCCAGGGATAAACAGGGGTGGATGTTTCTGATGACAAAATGACTCTTCAGGGACCTCGGGCATATTTCTGCATTTCTGGTCTATTCTGTAAAAGTTAGACAAGATGATTCCCCTTCTTGATCCAAATGCCAAATTAAAACCAAACCTCCATCGGGGAGAGGCTTTTCCACCAACCATTTCGATAGAGCTGTCATTGCCATGGCATTTATTATGTGCTCTGCCCCATGCTGAGCTCTTAGCATGCATTATCTCATTTGATCCTCTCCTCTCTTCTGCGAGGCAGGTGCTATTACTCTCCCCAATTTTACAGGGAAAAAAAAAATTGAAGCTGAAAGGAGTTAAGTAACATGCCGGGATTTAAGTGAAAGAGCTGGAATTTAAACCCTGTCTGATACATGAGCCTTAGCTCTTAAACCACCACCGGAGTACCTTACACAGTCTATGTCCAGCAGTTGATTTCTAAACCACCATATATAAGACAATCACAAGCGGTTAAACTTTGTTTAAATTTCTGTTACCTAAATGTGTGTTTCATCTAAACGCACATACTCATGGACCAATTTGCTTAATGATAGGGGGAGTCTTTCTCCTCCATCGTATGGCTCTTTCCTCCCAAAGGCAAAATAAATGTCTGTTCCCTCTGCTTTTGAATTCTTTCTCAAAGCTGCCTTGTTTTCTGCCTTACCCCCAGCCTCCAGCAGCAAGACAAGAGCAAAGGTGCTAAAATCAGAAGACCCGCCTTGTCCCCCTCTTTCTAGCTGATTCCTTGGCGAGTCATTTATCCTTTCTTAACTAACCTGTTACATTTCTCAAAGTGTGAATATCAAGTCCTGCCTCTTAGGTTTGTTGGGGGCATTAAGAAATACTGTGCCAAAAATCTTGGAAGCTTTGATGTGCCCTAATATTGTTCCTCATTATGAATATAAATGCTGTTGGGTACTTGGCTGCCTGCTTCAGATCTCTCAGCAAAGCTAGAGACGAACACGCAGATGGGAAGTTTCTGCCACTACTCACCTTCTCACATGAACTCCGTTTCCCAAATAGTAACTAAGTTGTACCCCAATGAGTTCTACTCAACTTGACTTGGATGCCAGAACCTGTGGGTTTGAAGGGGTCTTTCAGGGATGAAGTGACATGTCAGGGGACGTGAATAGCTTTACGGAGTGTCAGCCTCCAAATGCTAGCAAGCCCCGGGAGAGTTATTCTTGGATGCCTCTGTAGGAACAGATGCCCAGCGTTGTGTCACTATGACTCCTCCCTGCCCTGGAGATTAAACCTGCCCTATTTCTCTAGCACAAACCTAAAATTAGTGATGCAGCTGTCCTCCAATAAAACCCTGTCTCCAGATAGTATTCAGGGCAAGATTTATGACAGAGAAACAAACCGCACACCTTCTAGAGACAAGGGGCATGCAGAGCAATGTCACTCACCCTCTGTGGCCTTGTGCCAGCCCTCACTCTCAGGGGAGGTGGCTATTCCAAGCCTTCCTCACTTCCCAAATACCCACCGTGCTGGCAGAGTCTTACTGTCATAGATTTGTGTCGGCTTGCACCTGTTTCTTCATGACCATTGCTTTAGTCTGAGCAGTTTTCTTCAGACCTAGACAGCTCCTGTAGCCCTCCCACTGGTATTTCCTGACTTCAAAGCAATCAAGATTGTGTCCCTATCTCCATCTCCATGCTTCCCTTTTAGTCCTCCTCTCATTTTTCTTTCTATCCAGCTACCCCTGCACCTGGGATGCCCTGTCCTGTTCCAGATCTTTCCTCACGTGCTTCCCTCCCTCTGGAAGGGCAGCCCTGCCTTATTGAATGGCAGAAGCTGCCCCCATTCTTCAGACCCCACCTTATGGTGCCTGCTTCACCTCACCAGACAAAAGGAATTTCCCCTCCTCCAGCACTTTGTTCATATTTTCCTTTACTATATATCAGATTTGACTCTGTACCATGTTGGCGTGTGTGTCTTCTCTCCCATATAAATTCTAAACCTCCTAAAGGTAGAAGTCAAATTATATTTATCTTGCTGTTATCCATTGGTCCTACCCAAGTGCCGGGACCATGGTAGGCTCTTAATTCAATTTGAAAGAAATTCTTCAATTAAAAAAATTTTATATTTTTTGAATAACCTATCTAATGACAAATAAAAGCCAACATTTACTGAGTGGGTGCTATAGTAGGCACTTCATATTTATTATCTTATTATTTCTTGGTACCAAGCCAACTTCACATTTGAGGTTCTATCATGTCTAAACATGTCTGGGAAATGAAGTAGCTGGACTCTCTTGCATGAGGGACTGAGGTGCCTTGCGGGAGGGGACTCATTCTAGACAATGAGAAGCAGCAACCTTCAGCTTGAAAGAGAACAAAGTATCACTGGAGGGGGTCTTTTGTCTCTTACTTAGAGTTGTCTGGGGAAACTGACTGAGATTGGCAGAAGAGAAAGATCTGCGTTTGAGGGGATGTGACGGGCAGCATTGACATTCAAATTTTGCTTCCTATTTGAGACAGAGCTAGGCCTCCAGTATTTGGTCTGATAATCCATTCGGCTGGAATTTATGGGGCTTTAGAATTTATGGGGGAGCTTTTTATAGAATCAGGGAGGGAAAAATGACACAGGGCCAGGGTGAGCTAGCTCTTGCTAGCTTGCTCTACTGTGAACAAGTTTGTTTATCTGCACCAAAGCTGTCTTTGAGCTTTCCAAATTCACTAAGTAGAAAAATTTTTTGAGGCAAAGATGAATTGCTTGTCTGTGACTGACTCATCTTGTGACCTTAGAAGAGTCTGTGTTTGTTCCATGTCTCAACACCTTCTGTACCTTTGTGCCCTCATTTCCAGGGTGGACCTAAGGGTCTTGGTAAAAATAATGACAATTTCCACTGTCTGTCCATGTAACTATTTCCAAAGCGTGGCCAACATTTTCACATGGTAATAGTTAACCCAATCTTTGAAGCTGAATTATCAGCTGTTATCATTGGTTTATTTCCCAGGACTTTAAACTCTGTTGGCCTCTCTTGCCTCAAAAACATCAGAGTCAATCAGAAATGGGTTGAGTCTTCCTAGCAGAGGTTGGACCTTGAGCTCCATTGTATTCCCTGACCATTGCACCATCCTTTGAGAAAGGGAACTCAGGACATCCATGAGCTGAGATGGTTCCTTCATCCTTCATTTACAGTTTCTCGAGCTTTCCCAAGAAGGCAGGAGGTCAGGAAATGT